GACTTTTAAAATAGATCCACCCAGCCCATAATAGCAATGATAGTTTTGTGTGTGAATTCAATAGGCAGATTATATTTAATATGATGTTACGCTTCTACAATCTTGCACTAATGTAAATTTCTCAAAGATATTGAAGTGACTGTTATTTTGTTGATTGTTCTGTTTTATTTAGGTCTTAATGTGCATAAATGTGTCCTTTGATTGTGTGTATAGGTAGGCTACATGTTTGGATAGGCCTACATATTTTTATATATCTTTGTTTTTATATTCGGGATGGTGGGAAACGGTATTTCGATCTCTGTCTGTACACACAAACTGAAAGATTGAAAATAACGTTGACTTTGACTTGACTTTGATAAGGAGAGAGTCGCCATGCATGACGCATCAGAGGGAGTTCCCTCTCTTACTGCACAAAAACATCCTCTGCGGAAAATCGCACGTGCCCCATTATAATTTCGGTTTTTCTGCCTTCATAGCTGCCGCCTGCTCTCACAGCTGTGCACTCCCCCGCATTGGAAGCAACATGAATGCGCCCAATGTCTCGGTGGGCGTAGTCTTCTATCTATAAAATCGAGCCTTTGGAGGAAACACCTTACTATAATCCACACAGCACCACTCCAACAATGGCAGCTCTTACATTGCGTGCTCTCTTATTTATTGTCAACCTTACTTTCGGACTAACTCTCGATACAATATTAGGAGACAGAGTTCAGTTTCCAGAAAGCGAACACTGCAGCGAGAGAGGAGCGAAACTCCAGCACACTTTGACAGGTGGAAGCAATAAGACTGTGGCTCATCTGGAGGGTGTTTGGAAGCCGCTAGACGATTACAAAGACCGGATGAGTCCAAACGAGTCCGTGATCTTAAACAGGAGCAACATCAACGACCAGGGACTGTACAGGTTAACCTGCGGCTCAGAGGAGAAACTTATCCATCTGAATGTCATCATATCCTCGGATAAATCAGTGACTGAGGGAGAGGCTGCTAGAATGACCTTCCACTACTTTACTGCAGGAAAACTCGGGAGGTACAGAGTGGAGAGAAACACACAGCTTGTGTTTGAGCTGGACCTCTCCTCCGGGAGCACCTCACAGGGCTCAGGGTTTGAGAACAGAACATCTGTAGCCCCTCACTGGAGCTCCGATGGAGACCTGACTCTGACCCTGCAGGGGGTGAAGCCCGAGGACCGAGGAGCTTACTTTCTCTACGTCCTCAAGAACAGAAAGAGGGGACATCTGCAGGCTGTGAGGATGAGGGTCAGCCCTGCACTGAATACACCAGAGGAGAGGAACCCGGGACAGACCACCTGCACCCCCCAGCAGCCACCATGCGTGAGTAGGCTACAACACAAATATTGATTATAAAATGCAGCTTATGGAAACATCTTAGAAATGATCGGACTTTAGGGTTTTGTTTAAGGTGTCATCTTTTAGTTTCACATCATACTAAGTTCCTCTTGTTCTGTTTCCCCTGGAGCAGAAGGGGACCCCTTGGATCCCCCTCGCCATCATCGTTGCTCTGGTTCTGGTTGCACTTGCTGTGTATAGGCAGAGGATCTGCTGGTCATGATTGTGTGTTGCCATGGGGTCACCGTGAGGGACGGTGGTTCGCGAGCTCCGGAACGAGAGAGGAAGCAGCCAAAGACAGACTCAGACACGAGCTCATGAGAGAGTGTATTAGTTTATTATTGTTTAAACCTAATATAATAAATAAAACTTAAAGTTAGAAAGGTGAAATCTGCATACATCTAGTGTGCATAAAGCATAATTAAACTGCCATATGATTACTGTAGTAAAATAAGAGTAAATATGTGGTTGGTCAACATTTGGTCTAGAATGCATTTCTTCTTGTGAATGGGACATATTCCCAGAAATAAAATGTGTTTTAAATCCATCACCTTTAAAGTGTATTAAAATGTCCACATTCAGGTGCTGATGGAATATGGTTTTCAATTATATGTACATTATTATTTATTAACTTATTTGTTTTATAATGGCGCCACTTTGTTTTAAATCATGGATGTGCACTTTTTTTATTTTAATAACTTGTGCTTGCTTCTTTAATATGTTAATCCACTCATTACACCTGTGTCTTTTTATCTCCGCTTTCCCTTTGCTGCATCTGTACATATCCTGCTGTGCGACAAATGAAGGATTTTTGATTCTTTGCCAATAAAATAAATGTAAAATATGACCCTGCTCCTCTTTTTCCCTGTGCTGCTGGTTTCGACGCATACGGTTAATGGATTATTCTCCTCAACATTAAAAATACAAAAATAAATCTGGAAACTAACTGGACAACATATGCTTATTGAAAAAGTCTGATAGAGGTGAATAGGAAACATCGAAATAGAAACACACAGTTTCAGATTGAACCTTCCTTTCATTCATTCCGGGTGTCAGAAGCCATTTTGACTCATACTTTGGTAATGAGGCAAATAAACCAGTCATAACTGCCCTGTTCTTCTTTGTTACTCATTTAGGCTATCACTCTCATTTATCAGCAACACACAATGACCTGAGTGGCAATTGGCATACCAGCTCCCGCTTTAACTCAAATTCTATGGTCACTTTTTTGGAAACAAATAGTCCAGTCCAAGTCCATTCTCATTTGTATCACTGTTTCCCCGTTGCGGGACAAATAAAAATATTTCTGATTGAAAACCTTTATAGTCTATTTTAAATCCTCACGATCATCACGCCAACCCAAATCTACTGAGGTGAAAACAACACGTTTCAAACTGAAACACTTCTTTCAAATGAACAGGTAATTAACAGCAGCTCACAACAAAGAGTCAGTAAACAATAACGTAGTTCTGGCTGCATGCCAACACATTGCCTCATTATTCAGTTGTCATTTTGCAGCCACCGCGTGCCTAAAAAAGAGGCCATGTCTGGATCGTGACGCAGTCGATTTACATTGAGGTGCACAATGGGCAGGATTTACCTTTATTTATTATTTGTTAGAAGAAAATGTCCCATGGTCATGTGTGTGTGAATGTGTGTGTGTGTGTGTGTATATTGTTTTCCTTGTAAATAAAAAACATGACAAATATGACCAGAGGAAAACCAATATTAAGGGTCAATACAGAGCTGATAGTAAGAGTTGTATTAAGGGGAAATCAAACAGATTAAAATAGACCACATCTCCCCAGACTCTATGACCACTGGACCTTTAAATCACATGTACACTACATACAAATCGCATGACCCATAAACAACCTAGCAATACTTTGTTCTAGATTGCACAACCTTCATATGAGTTATTAAAAGCAGAACAGTGATTCATCGTGGTTTGTCATCACATCACATCCATTCACATTTCACACACACTTA